GTTAATAGCGATGTGGTCCTTCTGGGAGCTCGGGACAAAAATCTCAGACTCATACTCAATTCCTCTCGTTCTTTCCATCCAACCCACCAAAAAAATTTAATACCAAAATATATTCAGACTTCAGCTCCTTTTCACTATCTCTATGTTACTTTTAACCTGTTACCAGTCAACACCACCTCTCACTGGGATAACTGAAACAGCTTCCTAAATGGTTTCCCATTTCTGCCCCTGCCCACCCCTTTCACCCGGTCTCAACCCACCAGCCAGAGTAATCCCGTTACAGCAGGGCATTCATCCTTTAAAATCCTTCAACAACATCCCACCTCCCTCAGTATAAAATCCCAAATCTTGCCAGGGGGGTGGCTCACACCTGTAATCCCAACACTTTGGGAGGCTGAGGCAGGTGGATCACCAGGTCAGGAGTTCGAGACCAGCCTGGCCAACATGGCAAAACCCCGTCTCTCTTAAAACTACAAAAATTAGCCGGTCATGGTGGCAGACACCTGTAATCTCAGCTGCTTGGGAGGCTCAAGCAGGAGAATCACTTGAACCCAGGAGGCGGAAGTTGCAGTGAGCTGAGATTAGGCCACCTCACTCCAGCCTGAGCGACAAGAGCAAAACTCTGTCTCAAAAAAAAAGAGAAAACAAAAGGAAATCCTAAGTCTTTACCGTGGCCTTCAAGGCGACTTGGCACCTTCCCACGGTGTTCCTCTTTCCTCTCTAACCGCTGTCTCCACTGCTCACTCCACTCCAGCCACTGCACCCTCCTTGTTTTCTCTGAATACATCAGACGCTTGTCACTTCCCCTAGCTGCATTGCATGCTCTTCTCTCCAGCATCACGACATCCGTTCCTTCACTTCCTTCCAATCCATCCTCACGTCACCTTCTCCACAAGGTCATCCCCTGCCGTCCAACAGAGGTGTGCGACTCCTCCCATCTCCCCTCTATCCCCCCTTTATCCTTCTCAACAGTATTCCTAGTTGTCCCCTAGTTGCCCACTCTAAGAGTGCAGGGACTTCAATTAATTTTGTTCACTTCCGTGTCCTCAATGGTGAAAACAATCCCTGGCACACAGAAGGTACTAAATAAATATTACTTAAAATAATAAATGAGGGAAAAAAATGAATCTAGTAGGCTTCCCAGATTCTTGAAAAACATACTTCTAAATGCCTGTATCTTTAACAATAATGGGAGGAACTCATCAAAGTTCTTACAGACAGACGAAATTCAAAAATCAGCAAATTGGAGCCACAAAGAAGAAATCACTGTAAATTTAGGAACACAAACAAGTGCTAAAAGAAACTTGTAGCAAATAAATGAGTAGCCACGGTACTCACAATACAACTAAACACGCAGGTCATCACCTCCTTGACTTCATACGAAGGTCTACGCTAAATAAATGCTTTTGATTTACTTATGAGATGCTTAGCATGCATTGTGTTATGTTTAGAAGGCACCGCTGAATATTTAGGTTTTCTTTCTGCGTAAGTTTATTGTGAACGCCATGGGAGATTGTTCTAGGTTCAGTAACTCAAACTGATCCAAGTCAACCAGCAGTTTTAAATAACCAAGACTCTAAAATTTGACATCTATAGTAAAGTTTTTAAGTATATTTGGTTATTACTTCACACATTAACATGTAGACATTTGTTAATGAATGTGTAATGTTAAACTGTGATTACAAAGTATTATATTAGTAGTTGCTGTATTAATGATATATAATCTGCTAATTAAAACGAATGCTTTCAACAAACAGAAACTTTGGACACATATTTTTAAAAAATCTTTTAGGACCAGGCGCAATGGCTCATACCTATCCCAAAAGGTACTGTGATTCCAGCACTTTGAGAGGCCGAGGCAGGTAGATCACGAGGTCAGGAGATCAAGACCATCCTGGCCAACATGTTGAAACCCTGTCTCTACTAAAAATAGAAAAATTAGCTGGGCGTGGTGGTGCACGCCTGCAGTCCCAGCTACTCAGGAGGGTGAGGCAGGAGAATCTCTGGGAGACGGAGGTTACAGTGAGCCAAGATCATGCCACTGCACTCCATCCTGACAACAGAGGGAGACTCCATCTAAAAAAAAAAAAATCTTTTTCTATTTTAATATTGATTAATTCCATATTTTCATTATTAACATTATCATATCTAGGCAAATATCTGCTAGTAAATTACAAATGAGAAGTAATGCCTTATCATTCCTATCTGAAACTTCCTAAAGGTAAAATGAATATAATCTTCCTTGCTAAATAATCACTCAGAAGGCAATGCATATTGCCATATTACAGACCTAGAAAATGAAAATCCGTGACTTGAGACTTCATTTCAAAATGAAATGCTATTCTTCTAAGTGCTATTTATATTAACTGTAAGTTTTTTTATTTAACTAAAGACCGTTCTATAAAATTAGTATTAGAAAATGTGCTATAGTTATTGATTTCCTCATCAAGAAACCACTGAGCCATCACTTTATATTTTAGCTGAAAAGTGAATAAACACAAGTTTTTAAACCGTATCTAAATCATTGATAGCATTGAAAATAGAGAATTTCAGTAAGTCAATTACAGAAAGTCACTGTTATCTCAACCTACAGATATTTCTCTAAGAAAATGGAAGAGCCACATACTCTAAGGTAAAGCCATGACCTTCAGAAATATACTTATGCAGCCTGGGCGCAGTGGCTCATGCCTGTAATCCCGGCACTTTGGGAGGCCGAGGCAGAACGATCACCTGAGATCAGGAGTTCGAGACCAGCCTGACCAGTATGGTGAAACCCTGTGTCTACTAAAAATACAAAAATTAACCAGGCATGGTGGCGGGCACCTGTAGTCCCAGCTACTGAGATGGAGGTTGCAGTGAGCTGAGATGATGCCACTGCACTCCAGCCTTCTAACTGTCCAGCCTGGGTGACAGAGTGAGACTCTGTCTCAAAAAAAAAAAAAAAAAAAAAAAAGAAACATACTTATGCATAGTACGATGTAATAAATGCTTGTTGAAGCAAATTAATCTGCACTTAGTTGGATATAATAATTGAATTGAATATAGTTTTAGAGAAAAACATTTAAACAGATACAAACTTCTGTCCAAATTGACTTTGATATTTCAGTGAATATTTGGTTAATGTGGCTTGAAATTTGTAAGGCAGACAACAAAGAAAGTTAGAAGTATTAACACATCACTAAGTAATTGTGAAAGTGAGTAACAGTACTTTTTTTTTTTTTTTTTTTAAGACTGAGTTTCGCTCATTACCCAGGCTGGAGTGCAATGGCCCGATCTTGGCTCACCGCAACCTCCGCCTCCTGGGTTCAGGCAATTCTCCTGCCTCAGCCTCCTGAGTAGCTGGGATTATAAGCACGCGCCACCATGCCCAGCTAATTTTTTGTATTTTTAGTAGAGACGGGGTTTCACCATGTTGACCAGGATGGTCTCGATCTCTTGACCTCGTGATCCACCCGCCTCGGCCTCCCAAAGTGCTGGGATTACAGGCGTGAGCCACCGCGCCCGGCAAGTACTTTTTATTATATGTTTACAGATGCCTAACCCTCTGCTTTTTCTTACCTCTATGCTTTTTAAAAATATATTACTTACAACAACCCTATGAGGTAAGTGTTAGGACATACACATTGCAAATGAGGAAATTAGGACCCATGAAAATCAAGTAACTTGGTAAAGGTATCATAGTTAGTAACTGCCTAGGCTGTGATCCGAACTCAGGTCTGTTTCACTCCAACGTGTTTCTAAATCTCTGATCCCAACTCTGGGTGGCCATTATAACAAATCGAAATATACTTCAGACATTTGCAGGTAAAACCCTTGTCAGGAAATAATACTGTATTTTCCACCTCCAAAAAAAATTCCAGCAAACTTTTATTGAGAACGTTTAAGGAAATCTGAAATTTCCACACAGCACACTTAGTCGAGAGTATACTTTACAAAAAATTTAAAGCAGGTTAAGTTTATCATGCTGGTAATTCCATTGTTCAACGATGTAAAACAATCTTTACAAGAGAGGATGTACCTTATTTATAGAGGCAAGCTACAAGTCATAGAATCTCGAAGTTAAAAGACTTTTCAAATCTTTTAAGTTATTTAACTTAACCTTCATTTTATCGTAATAAACTGAAGCCCAGGAAGCTTAAGTAGCTTATTTATGTTTACACAACTAGAAAGAGGCAAGCTGTAATGTTACTTTGCTACTTATAACAGGATAAAAATACTTCCAATTCCCAATTAATTTATTTGACCAGACCACAGAAAGAAAGCTCTCAGTTTCCATGACAAACAGTGATTAAACAAGGATTGTAAATACCATATCAAAATTAACTTTTTATATTACCAACAGTAGCTATGTGAATTTTTAACTACTTTCTCATAGAGATGAACAAAAATTAATTGTAAGACTTAAAAGAAAGAATGTAAGACTCTTAGGACCACTGTAAAAAGTTCATGTGCGCCATAAAGATTAAACGAATGCACGGGCTCTGTTTTTAAAGTCAAGGTTTTCATTCTGAGAGAACTTACTGTATTTTATATCGATTCCCAGTCATTAGACATTTATTTTGGGCCATTTTTAGATTTTGTTTACTAAAATGAAGTGTGAAAATGAAGAAAAATAATAGTAATGCAAACCACATAAGTTCTGCAAACACAGAACTTAGAAATATCTACCGCGATATTTAAGAAGCCAATCAAACACAAATAAAGTATGACACTGGCCTATTAGATGCGTCATGATTATAAAATTTCCTTCATGACCATCAACCACATTCATTGTGTGCTAATGTTAAAGAGCACATGGTAAAATTAATAAAATTCCATCAGAAGTACCCAAATCATCATCCCAAAGAAAAACGGATCTACAGAACACAGTTTCAAACAAGGAAATCCAAAGTCATAAATCACTCTGATCACACAGCCGCTCAAAATAACTAGTCGAATCTCTGGGTGTAAGCCCCCGACCGAAAATGAACTCCTCGTAGAGTATTTAAAAAGCAACATACCTTCTTCAAGGTGGAGAATTCCCAGCGATCAAACTGTAATCCATATAGAGAAGGTGTCATCAAAAATGCCAGCGTTAACTTTTAAGTAACTCCAGATAAAGAAGTGTGATGACTTTCCATCCAGGAATGATTTGACCTTGTCTTGGTACTTCCATATTGTTGGCTGATAGAAAGATGAAGTGAGGACAACTCAGAATGAAGAAGGTCAGTGCCAGGAAGTACTCTAGCAAATCATGCTGTTTTCTAGATGCTAACAATAGTAATTACACCTATACAACTGAAATTAATTAAAGTTAGCTCCCAAGCCATTCTGCCTACTCACTGTCTAAAAGAAAGTAACTGTTGCATTAATATATTTCAGTCTCTGATATGAAAACTCAAAACTACTTAGTTCTAGCGCTTGAACCATTTCTAGGTACAAGTCTTCAATAGTAACTACTACTATACAGAATCAAAACTTGAAAAAGTTAAAAGACTGTTTGGGCATTTCCTCACGTTATTAGCAGTGCTTGCGGTGTGATGTTTCATTTGTCTTGTCAAAAGTGAGTAAGTCAAAGGGTGTGAAGAAAGCCTCTAGCACTTCGGAATATACCAGAGAACAAAGTGGAGAAGGTGATAAATTATCTCGGCATTAAAAATGATCTCACAAAGCATACCTGAAGATAATAACCTTTAGGTTATTCTGAAAGTAGAATTCAAAAAGTCTGTTCTGCATATTCCCAATATTTAGGTATCACCTCAGATAGACCATATCCACTTTCAACAAACCCCCCACCTCAGTCTCCAAAATTCCTTTTCTTTTCTTTTTTTTGAGACGGATCCTGGCTCTGTCACCCAGGATGGAGTGCAATGGTGCCGTCCTGGCTCACTGCAACATCCGTCTCCTGGGTTCAAGCGATTCTCCTGTCTCAGCCTCCGAAGAGCTGGGATTATAGGCAGGTACCACCACGCCCGGCTAATTTTTGTATTTTAGTAGAGACGCACGGGGTTTCACCATGTTGGCCCAGGCTGGTCCCGAACTCAGGACCTCAAGCGATCCACCCCTCTCGGCCTCCCAAAGTGCTGGGATTACAGGCATGAGCCACTGCGCCCGGCCTCCAAAATGCTTTTTCTACAAACCAAATGACAGTATGGGATGAACAACTCCTTATCAAGTGGGTAAGCGCTGGAAGAGATTGTACCTAAAGTGGCAATGTTTGCTAGGTGTGGAGTGTTCCCCTCATTCGAGCATGACCCAACCTAGAAACACTCCGAAGTTAAGCTACTTAGGAAACAAAGTTAGGGCGTCTCCTTTAGCCTGTAAACACTGAGTGGATCGCGCTGCCTCTTCACCCGGCTGAAGCAGTAACAGCCATCCTTCTTTGGGGCGGGCGTGGCCGTTAGAAACAAAAGGTTAAAACACAAAAGGCGGGGCGGAAGGCTGGGTCAGAGGAGCTTCTGGGGCTCACGTTCTGCTTTCTATTGAAACACACTGAAATGGGGTTGGGGATGGGGGTGATGGAAAGTGAGAGGTGAGGAAGGATCCCAAGGATAGCCTGGGTTATTCCGGGTGGGTCGTGAAACTGCAAAGGCGGACTGGATGGCTCTAAGCAGTGGTCCAGGCCCCATCCCCTCCATCCCTGCATCTCTGACAGTCGAACCTGTGGCTTCCTCCACCCCATTTCAGCCCCAAAGAAAACTTTCCAAACCCTTATCTGCTTGTTGTAAACCACTCCTTGACGGGCAACACAAGGGTCCAACCCCCTCCAACCCAAACCTTCCTTCCTTCCATTGTTGCTGCGTTTTTATATGGTGCGTGGTATCTACAGAGCGCTCTGCAGACAGCTAAGTTATACAAACGACCCCCACAACCATATTGCTTCCTTTTGCATGACCAAAGTCAGGGCTGGGGTTGGAGCGAGGCTGGACTTGCCCCCATCAATTTCTGCGTATTCATCCCTACAGGAGCGCAGCTGGAAGAAAGCGAGGCAATACCCGCGCACCCCACCCTGCGGATACCCTCCTCCCCATCCCCCCGGCCCCTCCTATGAAGAAGCACAAGAGATAGATGCCTGCTTGGCTTCTGCCTATGAAAAGTAAACAAATGAAACAATCTACGCGAGTTCTTTAAAGAACAAAAGAGAAGGGAACGGGGAAAGGAGGTAAAATTTACCAGCCAGCCAAACTTTGCGGCTGAGCGAGTCCTCTGCCCTCCGAAGGGCGGGGAGCCGGGTGAGTCGAGGGGAGAGAGGTAAACAAGACAACAGCCCTCACTCACCTTCTTCCCCACTTCGTCGTACTTTTAAGAGACCTTTCCCCCGCTGCAGTCTGCGAGGCGCTGGGACACTTTTTCCTGGCCTGACAGCAGAGAAAGTCGCGGCGGCAAAGTTGTGAGAGATACCCCGGCGCCCGGGGGAGAGGGGAGGAAAGAGAGTTCATCAGAATTCCCCCTTTTGTTCCAAGTCCCGGAGCAGACAAAGAGGCGGCGAGCGGCAGCAGGTTTCTCCCTCTCACCCCTTCTTCCTCTCTCCCTCCCCTCCCTCCCAGCCCCCTCCCTCTCCCCGCATCTCCCGCCCGGCTCGGGAACCTCCAAGGCGAGCTGGGGCTGCTCGGTCCCCAGTTCTTCGCAACTCTACCCGGACCGTCTCCTCCCACTGCCCGGCTGGAAACTTTCCCCGGAGACGCCAGCCTTGGCCCCTCCGCAGCGCGCACAAGTCGCGGTGGTGGGCAGGGGATCTCCAAAATCACTGTTTCCCGGAGATGCACCTCTTTGTTTGCACTTTCCCTGCCAATCAATGTGAACCACCATTCACTTGGGCATCGAGTTTCCGTCCGTCTCTCCTCATCCCAAAAGACAAAATCCAAAGGGTAGGGGTCAACCCCAGAGAAAGGCGCTTACACAATCAGAGGTGGGGCGCAGGCTAGGCTCCTCATCCTCCTTCCTCCTCTCGGACGCACCCTCCTCCATCCAACACACAGAACCACTCACAGGGGCTTGAAGTGTTAGGAAACTCTCCTCTCCCGCCCTTCCCCACCTACCCCCACCCACGCTGTCCCTCTGGAGAGTCCTCCAAGGGGCAGGACAAAAGCCGGCTCGGGGTTCGGCCGGGGCCTCCACCCACCCCTCGGGGCTACCTGTTGCTGCAGGCGCAGCGCAACTCGCCACTCGGTCCGAGGAAGGATTCCCAGCTCCAGCATCGCGCCCACCTTCGCAGGCCTCGAACTCTCCCTCATCCCAAACTGCGATGGCAAGGCCATCTAGATCGCCGCGCTCCCTCTGACCCTAGAGCCAAGCGCGGCTCACTCGTCCTCTTCCCTACACCACACACTCCTGCTCACCCCCAGAGATATGGCTCGGGGTCTCAGGCCGCCTCCCCATCCTCTAACCCCTGCTGAGACACGTCCCAGACTAGCATCCCCTCTTTCCTTCCCCTCCCCCACGCCTTGTAGGGGACAAATCAGGTGTCTCGGACCAGGAACAGCTCCCGACCCTTACCCAGGTCCTTTCCAGCCATCCTCCACCTCCAGAATGGGGACCCCATCCTCATGGTCCTCCACCCCTCCACCCTGATCCCAACTTCGGGCCACAGCATTGGCTCCCTGCGTGACTCAGAGCGTCACTCGTTTTCCTTCTAGATCCACTAGAATTGAAGAAAAAGAAAGCAGGGAGCTGGGGGAAATGGGAGAGGGTGGGGGCCCGCATTGGGAAGCAATTTCTAGGGCAAAAGAAAATTCCAACACGAACACCCACCCTTCAGTTGGTATCCAGCCCGTTGCGCACCTTTGCCTCCACCCTCTTTCCTTTCTCCGTATCCCAGCTTGGGATCTTGGCGGGTTGGCGAAGTTTGGGGGTGGAGGGGTGGGAGGAAGCTTGGGGACTTGGGTGCCGCGTCCCGGGCTGGCCTACGGGGGGAGGGGTATGGAGGGGAGGGTCCCGGTGGGTCCAGAATGTCGCGGCGGTAGGTCCCGGTACCCTCCCGGCGACTCCGGGCCAAGGTCTCTCCTCCGGAGCAGAACAAAGACGCCGCGAGGAGCGCTTCTGTCCTCGCCTCCCCGCCCCGCGCTTCCCTCGCACGAGCCCACGCCGCTCTCGGAAACTTTACAACCAACTTCCCCTAGAGTTCGTGCGCGCCGCGAGGGGGCCCGAAGGAGAAACCGGGACCGTCGCATCCCGGGACCAGAGATGCCCTCTTCTCCGTCCCCTCCTGGACAGGGAGCACCACCTCTGGCGCCGCCCGTCCCAGCCCCCGAGCCCGGCGACCCGCGGTGCCAGGGCGAGCGGAGCACGCGCTTCCCCGGCTCCTTCGGAGAAAGAGTTTCTCCAGTCTGGACGCGTGCAGTGCTGGGCAGGGGTCGGAGGACAGAGATGGCCGAGAGATAAAGCAGCGGCTCCGGCCGCTAAGTGAGGCCGAGCGCGCAGGAAGAGCACGGGTGGGAGCCGCGCCCGTCGGGCCGGGTTCCTGCGCGTCCCGCTCCGCCCTCGGATCGCAGCGAGCCGCGGCGAGGCAGGACTCTGGAGCCGCCCGGGCGGGCCTCCTGGAGCCGCGGCCCCTCACCTGCCCGGAGCCCCGACACCTGCGCCGTCTCCTCGCGGAGCCCGGGGTCTCTCGGGCAGCCAGTCGCCTACTGGAAGCTCAGGATCCTCATCTTAGGCGAGGACTCCTGAACGCACCACAGCCAACCACAGAGAGAAAACAGCCCCCACCCACTCCTGTCTGGCACATTTTCCTCTTTGTTTAATTATGTTGACTTCCAGAATTCTCTTTTTAGAAGTCTACCCTCCCCCAGACAAAACCTTTCCTTCTGTTACCCTCAGGCATCTGTATGGAAAATAATGGAAAGTCAGTACTTCGAGACGAATCCATTCTGCTGCCTCTGGAAAATGCTCCGGGTTATACGGTGAATCAACCAAGATAGAGTTTTTGACTTCGAAATAACACCCAATACTCCATCAGATCTATTAACATGTTTACTGCTTGTTTTCTCTTTTTTTCAGGGAACGAAGAGTAGGGGTCATTTGCTGGGTGCAAAAGTCAACGCGGCCTCAAGAAGGCTTTCTTCCTGCCGCCTTTCTTTATGAAATATTGCTCTCAAAGCTGTTTGAAGTGTCTCCCTTTCCCAACCTGCTTGTGAACAAAGTGATTTCTTCCTAGAATCTTGGTCGTCAACCCGTCAGAGTCCCCCATCTCTGTAATAAAGGCCGCCCCTCTTGGGAGGATGTACGAGCTGTTCACTACTGCCTTTTAAAAGCATGCCGTCTTTTCTCAGATGCCACCACAACTTTAATATCATTTTAAACAGTTAATTAACATCATCTAGGCTCAAAGATGGATACTGCAGAGCAGATGGGCTTAGAAAGACACGTATCTCTTCTGCACTAACAGGGTTGGGGCTCCACCCTTACGTCATGGGCTTCCTACTGGCAGGCCAGTGGCATCTTACTCTACTCTCTTTGCTTCCCCATTCAAGGGCTTCCTCTGGCTGCCAGACCCCACTTTGCCTTTGCGGAGGGGCAGGCCGGAGGAGCCAGGCAGTTAATTCCCCTCAGAGCAGCCTTCAACTAATCAAAGACAGGTGTTGAGGCCCTGTGCGGTGGCTCACACCTGTAATCCCAACACTTTGGGAGGCCGAGGAGGGTGGATCATTTGAGGTCAGGAGTTTGAGACCAGCCTGGCCAACATGATGAAACCCTGCCTCTACTAAAAATACAAAAAATTAGCTGGGTGTGGTGGCAGGCGCCTGTAATCCCAGCTACACAGGAGGCTGAGGCAGGAGAATCGCTTGAACCTGGGAGGCGGAGGTTGCAGTGAGCCTAGGCAACAGAGGGACACTCCAATCTCAAAAAAAAAAAAAAAAAAGCAGATGTTGGTATAAAAATACTCCAGCTTCCCCCCTGAGCTTAGGACTACAGTCAATCCTACTGGAGTCTCCCAAATGTTCCCGACTTTGAGTTTCAGTTCACACAGCAGTAACCTTCCCTTTAGGGAACACTGTTACCTGCCTGTCATCCTTCCTTCCTTCCTTTCTTCCTTCCCTCCCATTTTCCCTATTTATTTTCTTACCCTCTTCCCCACCAAAGCTTTCTAGGATCACACCCCAAATAGATTACAATAGTTGCCCTCAAATCTTACCCTTTGGGTCAATTTCTGGGGAAACACAACCTAAGAAACCTTTTAGATATGTTCTTTCTAAAGGGAGGACTCTGTTCTATTTGTAGAATGAAGTTACAAGATCCAATTTTCTCTAAAAAAAAAAATTATTTCAGTAATGAGAAATGTTTTGAGTTATCTAGTTCATTTTCTATGTAATAGTTTAAAATTAGGTATCTTATTGAAGGAAGATATTAAGTAGCAATAGGGAAAATCATGTCATACATGAAAGTTTTGCACATCGAGTCATTATATAAACATTATATAAGGCTAATGCTGGCAATCAGCAATGCAACAGGAAAACGTTAGAATCACACTTTTGAAAAATTAGTTAGAGATAACGTAGCTTTTGATTGAATCCCCAATGAGAGCGAACGGGGATGATAAACATTTCCCATACTGTATGACCCGTGAGAGATCTCACAGTGTCTTTCTGCAAATTTCTTAGAGCATTAATTGGCCAACTACTCACTGCAACGTTTTGTTTTTTTTTTTGAGACAGTCTCTTGGTCTGTTGCCCATGCTGAAGTGCAGTGGCATGATTTCGGCTCACTGCAACCTCCGCCTCCTGGGTTCAAACAATTCTCCTACCTCAGCCTTCTGAGTAGCTGGGATTACAGGTGTGCACCACCATGTCCAGCTAATTTTTGTATTTTAAGTAGAGATGGGGTTTCCCCATGTTGGCCAGGCTGCTGTCCAACTCCTGACCTCAGGTGATCCATCTGCCTTGGCTTCCCAAAGTGCTGGGATTACCGGCATGAGCCACCCCACCCAGTTGCAACATTTTTTTGTATGTGTGAAATGATATATTAAATCTTCTCTTATGAAGGATTATGAATAGCCACCATTATGAATAAGTCATCAAGCATTCACATAATTATAGGCACCTAATGCTGTTCCTAGCTCCAGAATTTTCTTTCTTAGATTGCTTTCACCTCTGTTTTTCTGAAGTTATCACTGTAGTAGTAATTAGTGCTATTCAGCAAATTTTTCTTATTCTCTGTCTGGCTACATGGTAGAATGCAATTCCCTGCCTTCCCTGACTCAAATGTGGCCACATGATTTGGTCTGGCCAGTGAAATGTGAGCAGAAACTGTGTGTGTCTCTCCAGGTGGGAGCTTTAAGATTTTGGTGTATGATTTTGACATGCTCCTTTTCCATCTGCGACAGCACTGGATACGGATGCTGATTTAGCCTGGGTACCAAATTGAGTACGCACCCATTTTGTTCACACTAAATGTGATTTAGCCTGGGTACCAAACAGTACGCACCATTTTGTTCACACTAAATGACCAGCCCTCGGTGGTCATTTAGTGTGAACAAAAAACCCCGAAATTTTCTGACAGGCTCGGTAGCTCATGCCTG